GCTCAGTATCACTACTTATCAGAGAAATGCAAGTAAAAACTACAATGAGGTATCACCTCACACCAGTCAGAATGGCCATCATTCAAAAGTCCATGAACAATAAATGCTGGAGAGGATGTGGAGAAAAAGGAACCCTCTGATACTACTGGTGGGAATGTAGTTTCATGCAGCCATTATGGAAAACAGTATGGAGATTCTTCAAAAAACTAAAAACAGAGTTACCATATGATACAACAATTCCACTCCTAGGGATATATCCAGAGGCATATATCCAAAGGGAACTTTAATTCAAAAAGATACATGCACCTCAATGTTCATAGCAGCACTACTGACAACAGCCAAGACATGGAAACAACCTAAATGTCCATCGGCAGATGACTAGATAAAGAAGATGTGGTATATTTACACAATGGAATACTACTCAGTCATAAAAAATAATGTCATCTGCAGCAGCATGAACGGACTGGCGAATGTCATTCTAAATGAAGGAAGCCAAAAAGAGAAAAAAATACAATATGATATCACTTATATGTGGAATCTTAAAAAAAAAAACTAATCTACAAAACAGAAACAGACTCACAGACATAGAAAACAAATTTATGGTTACCAGGCGGGGAAGAGGGTGGGAAGGGATAAATTGAGAGTTCAAGATTTGCAGATACTAACTACTGTATATAAAACAGACAAAACAATATGTTTATACTATACAGCATAGGGAACTATATTCAATATCTTGTAATAACTTATGGCTAAAAAGAATATAAAAATAAATATATGTATGTTCCTATATGACTGAAGTATTGTGCTGTACACCAGGAACTGACACATTATAAACCCACTACCTCAATAAAAATAATTTTTAAAAGGCCAATCCCCAAAAATTCTGAAAAGATTTTTATCAGCAATTGTAGAACTTGATCACCTCCCCACTGCAGGTGACTATTTTAAAGGGGCTATCCTATATATTGTGCTGTTTAAAACAGAGCTGCCTTCCCTTATAACTACAATATGTAACCAGCATTATTTTTAGTGTTACTAATTGAAATCTACAGGACACTACACCCAGAAACAACCAGAGTACACATTCTTCTCAAGCAGGCATGGAACATTCTAGGATAGACCACATACTGGCACAAAATAAACCTCAACAAATCTAAGAGGATAGAAATTATTTCAAGCATCTTTTCTGACCACAATGGTATGAAACTAGAAATCAACCACAGAAAGAAAAATGAGAAAAAAACCATTAGATGGAGACTCAGCATGTTACTAAAAAAAACTAATGGGTCAACAATGAAATCAAAGAGGAAATCAAAAAAATACCTTGAGACAAACGACAATGAAAACACAACCATACGTATCTCTGGGATGCAGCAAAAGCAGTCCTAAGTTCACTGTGATACAGGCTTTTTTTAAAAAAAAAAAGAAAAACATCTCAAACAACTTTCTGGGGGTTTCCTTGTTACTGACTCTGTTTTTCACTTGCTGCCTTTAGAACCCTCTCTTTAACTTCTGTCATTTTAATTATGATATGTCTTAGTGTGAGTCTGGGTTCATCTTGTTTGGGATGCTCTGTGCTTTGTGTAGCTGGATTATGTTTCCTTTTTTAGGTTTGGCAAGTTTTCAGCCATCATTTCTTCAAATACATTTTCAATCCCCTTTTCGCTGTCTTCTCTTTCTGGAATCCCTAATATCATTAGGTTGGCAGCTCTATACTATCCCATAGATACAGTATGTTAATTTTATTTTTGAAATGAATCCTGTTCAGTTTATTTTAATGCCAAGTTTTTCAAATTTTTGTGGGTTGGGTTGGTGATTTTCCTGTTTAAAACAGCCCCCAAGTGTAGTGTAGAGGTGCTGTTTAGTGTTCCAAAACACAAGAAGGCTTCAATATGCCTTATAGAGAAAATACTGTAAGTTTTGTTCAGGCATAAGTTACAGTTCGTGAGTTCAATGTTAATGAATCAACAGTATATATTAAATAAGGTATCTTTAAACATAAGCACAAAGTTATGTATTGATCAATTAGCAAAAATATGACTAGAGGATCACAGAAACTTCAACCTTGTGTTTCTCTAATTCTATGTTGGTATCAAGTTTATAAAATGTGATTACCATGAATAACAAGAATTGACTGCATATGTGTGTGTGTGTGCGTGCGTGCGTGCTGTGTGTAAAATAGCCCCCCACATATATATCATTAGAAAATACTAACCACAGGCACTGTATCATAAAGAATTTTGGGATGTGATTCTGCAAGTTTCTTGATCTTTCTATTCCAGGAAGCTCCATCCAGAAACAGTCCATGAATGAAAACACCTAAATATAAAAGAAGCAGATTACTAGAATACCTTACACATGCACGTTGATTTGAGTTTTGAATCTAAAATTTCTACAGGTGAATAATACCATGCAAGTGATAAAAGTTCAGCAAACTAAGACATGCTCTAAAATAAAAGCAACGTTCTGAGCACTTTGTCTTAACGTTCTTATTTCAGGAATATCTATACTTTGCCTAGTCGACCAATGCAATAGTGAAATTAGACGTGGAAGACAAAAAGGGAAAGAAATTTTAAATTAGTTTATGTAAAGTTCTCAGTATGGGTGAACACTATCAGATTTATATGTTAATTGGCCAATGATTATCATGTTTTCAGAGTCCATGAAGTCCACAAGAAAAGTTCTTCACGTAATTATAGGGATCCAGTGGCATCTAGGCAGCATGTGAACAAAATACCCTTCTGTGGATCTCTACTGTTGTGAGAATTAAATTTCTTCCCCCAACTTTTCTTCTCACTCCAAGGCCACTCCTCAGTCTGTATGAGAACACACAGATGGATGAACTCCCTCTGGAATGCAGTGTCACACACAAACAGCTGAAGAGCACAATTTAAGGAATCAAAGGAACCTGGCTCACTTGCTCTGGCTTCCCACTGAGTAAGCCTCAGGAACTGAACATGAGTATCCACACATGAAAATAGTGATTGTAATTGTTGTGCAGGTGAGAGGAAAGCAATGAGGACCTTAGAAAGACTTCGGTTTTAGTTCCTAATTTGCTATACCGTGAGCAATTCATTTACCTTTGGACCCGTGTTTTTTTTTCCCCAATCTGGAAAATGTTTATAAAACGATAATGCCTGCCTTGTCCACCTTGTAGAGTTACAATAAAGTCTACTATATTGGCGAAAGTGCTTTGTAAAGTAGGATATAAAAATCCACGTGGGCAGTGCTGTCCAATAGGACTCTCTGTAATGATGGAAATATTTTGTATCTATGCTTCCCAATATGGTAACCACTGGCTAGGAAACACCTAAAACATGGCTGTGTGACTAAGGGATTGAATTTTAAATTTTATTTAACTTTAACTATAAATTTAAAAGGCCACATGTGGATAGTCCAGCGACAGATGTTGGGGGATGGCTTACCCTTTCTAGGTTTTAACTGATGGAAAGAATAGTTGGAATAAAATGTCAGTTTTATTAAATGGCAAAGCACTTGTCTAAGAACTTCCCAAGTATTACTCTAATAAAACTGCATTGCAAAATGCATCTGGAGCCTGGGACAATGTCAGGGGTGGGCCTGCCTGAGGGTGAGACCCTGGCCAGGTCTAAGGCCTGCGGACCAGTCACAACAGTGGAC